GAGATTGGGTAAACATATGAGGAAGGAAAGGGAACATATTCATGCATCTCTTCTGTTTTTAGTGGTATAAATGCACCTGGAATGGCTGTTTTATCTAAAATAATATAATTTTGAGTATAAGTAGGGAATGGAAATAATAAATCTTTTTAAATAGTTTCAGTAAAGAATGAACAAAGCAACCAGAGTACCTGTTAGTACTCTTTTTTTGAGTCACACATACACACAAGCAGACATGAAAACAGAAATGGTAACTAATAATAAGAAAAATCACTAATTTAAGGACAGATTTTACAGTAGCAGCCTTTTTATTCATTTACACTATCAAACCTAATCAAATTTAGGAAACTCACCATAAAGTTAACAAGAAAATTACAATGAAAAATCTTCCTTACTCATAGGAGTTCCTTAATCAAGTATGAAATCTTTTCATAAAGCTTTTACTAACCACCTCAGAGTCTTTATGTTGGTTAGTCCGTCTGTTGCTTACATGGCTTCATTTGCAGGTTTAGTTGTACAAAACCTTACTACTGTTACACATCTAATATTAGTAATATTATTAGGACAATTTAAGTAACTTAAAACTATAAATAATACAGAGTCTCTTGGTACCTGCTATATTCTTTAACCACATACTGGCTCTGTTTGTGGTGGTATTCATGGTTGTAACTTCCACGTTTGATCCACGCTGACATGATGATGCCGTAGATATTGACCTGTTGGACCAGCACCACACATTACAAGATTGATGCATACAATCACAAAGACAAACACTGAACGATTCTTGAAGAGATGCTTGAAATTTTGAAAATAGTCATTTCCAATTACATTTCAGCATGATGTTTTTATTTACTCGACCCTAAAAGGAAAAAAAAACACTCCTAAACTTTGGAAACTTGAAGTCTGCATTATTCCCCCGACATCCAAATTCATAAACATAGCTGACTGTCGGCTCCAGGACTGACAAGATGACACTATATTGATGGAACACACGGGCACAAATGTAAACAAAGGGCATGGACAAGTATGGATAAGAATAGCAACTGAAGCACAGCTGCAGCCAAGAGTGTGGTACCAGTTTGATAGCAGTAATGGCTTGTGTGTTTAACAATTGCCAATAAATATAATTTGAATAAATTAGACAAAAAGGAAGCCAGTTACTGTAACGTGACTAAGACAGCACGGCATTAATCCATTATTGATGATAGGGACGTAAAAACTGACACTAAAAACACAGAAAAAGAAAATGTTGCCATACAAACGTATCACTGACAGTTCAGCATCCTTAAATGTGTCATCAACTATGTGCATGCTGCTTACGGCTGTCTGGCTCCAGCTTATTTAAAACGTTCATTATTAAGAACATTTCAGGAAATGTCTCGTGTATAATCTGAAGTCCTTTTCATTTGTTGTGTGTTTCATATAAACAGAGTAGATGTGGACTTCAAGGCAAGAGAATACAGTAGCTTTGTCTTACATCATCCACACACACAGGGGAGTATAACTGCCTTGCATCACCTCATAGTCCTCAGGGACCAGAAATAAGGTCAGATGAAACGTGAAGCGATACTGCGGCCCAGCCTCCCTCCCTGAAGGCAACTGAGACGTGCTGCACCGGCAAAAACATTTCTACTTCCATGTCTTTGAAACACACTGCTAAGATTCAGTGTCACTGTATGCATCACTTCTATTGGCCCAAGGCAATCCTCCAAGCAGAAAGTCAGCCACAGTAAAAGAACAAAACAAAACCCTTGCCTCCAACCTCTATCCCCAGACAGCAAAAATAATCGTTCTCATTTGAATAATGAAGCACAATATTTTATTTATGTCCATCACTCGTATTTTGCCCTTTTACAGTCATTATATTTTCCCTGAAATGGGTAACCACAGTCTTACTGTAACTGTCTGACTATTTGGTATTAGCAAACATACTGTGGGTGTTACCTCACGTAACACCCAAACATCTCTATTGTAGCTGTAAAACTTTATAGATCTCAGTCAGAACAATGCAAGCCTTTGAATTTCTCCAGTCTGACCATAAACACTTCTACCTAGATGCAAAACTAGTGGTAGCAACAATACAGTAGCTCAACATTGGCTCAAGCGCTTGTACATTTTCTAACTTGAGGCGTAATCTTTGTTAGCGGATAAATGAGCTCAAGTATACATGAAACCAACACATTTAAAGTCCAAGCGTTGCACACCGACAGGCAGCCCTCTGTTGGTCACTCATTCACGCCAAATGAATCACCACATATCGCGAATGCAGTAATTAATATTCATAATAAAATGAAATTAATATATAGTATCACTCATCACATTGAGTATCATTAATAGCTCTGACTAAGGAGCAAGAAACATCTCTTGGCTGTGCCTCGGTCTGTTCTCTCTATGCCATCCCACTGATCCCACCAGCTATACTTGGATTTGAAACAAAGCTGCAGATCCAGAGGAGAGAGGAGCATAAAACTGAATTTAAAATTGATTTTCTTACCCCTTGAGATTCCCGTTGCAGCGACTTCGGATGTCAAGCTGAATCCACAGGGAGTCAGCCTAAACCAAGTACAGGGCCAACAAAACCACCACCCGTCTTCAACTGTTCCCCACCTGCTTCTCCGTGAGGCCTTAAAAGGAGACAGAGCTGCCTATATATAACCAGTATCCTTCAAGACTCATAATTACTGGAACCAGTAAACTATTTGAATAATAGAGTTTATTCATTACACTTTGTAATGGAAGCCAACCGATTTGTTTTTGGTATTCCAAATTAATGGTGCATGCTTAATAATGAGTTATTTAAGTATACGAGAGCACACAGACAATGCAGAGAATCTGACAACAGTGATGCTATGTTTTGGGAGGGGGGGCAATACCACACTTTCACCAGCAGCACTTTTAGCCCTACAGACTAGACAGCAGTATGGAGAGCTTTCAAGTAGCACTTAACTAATGAGTTTTACCATGCCACAATAACATGTTAATGAATAATAAAATGTGTCACTGTATGCATCATTATAGAGCTTTTAAAACATGCACACTCAAACTGAGGAAAACAGATTTAAATTCTGTATTACAATGGCTGGATACGGTGGATCATGAGTTTATAGCTACATTTAAATTTAGCTGCATATTAGTTAATACTAGACCCTCTCTAAGGTCTTTCACCATTCTGTGCTGAGAAATGTCTTAAGACACTGTGCCACATGCTGAACTTTGGCCAGGGTCTATTTATAAAAATAGCTACAGTTACAGCTTGACTATTCCTGACACAGTGGAGGAGCTTTGAAACACATTTCACATCTGAGACAAAATCACATGAGAGGACAGCATAAGTCACATTTGGAAAAAGGGAAGACGGAGAGAGGGAGGCATGGCTGTGGTTTCACGTGGTGCTGATGACATAGACAGGAGAATGAATACGCCAAACAAAAGATGAGAGTACAAGAAAAGCTGATTTAGACAAACACCTAGTCAGTTTAAAATTGATGTGACTGGGGATTAATGCTTTCCGGAGAGATGCTGTTTTTAACAAGTTCTATTTGCAGGGGTCAAATTTTTCTATCAATCAGCAGCTCCTGAAATGAAGAAAAACTGACCTGTGCAACAAACAAATTTCATAATCCTTAATTTTAAACTCTTCATGAAAAAGATGAATTCCCAAAGACCAGTCCTTGCTTTTTTCATAATTATTACATATCACCATGTCAAGCAGACAGTCAATAATACCCTTTATCCTGACCTCTAATCTCTAAAGCCATGGTTCAGTATAGATAATAATAATAATAACTGTTTAAATATTCTGTGACTCATCTAGTTAAGTAGAATGGCTTAAGTATAGTCTAGAAATTACAGAAAAAAAGTGTGCGTGTCTGTGTCTATCTGTGTGGTGGTGCTGGGGGTAAAAACAAAACCATAAGCTTTTGTGGTAGGAAAAGAGCCCCCTGTTGGTTGTTTAGTACTATACTCTCCCTGATCATTTTGCTACATCATGGTTAACACTGAGGCTGAAAAACAGATTTTGAAAGCTAAAAACAGACAGTGCAGACATATGGAGTCTAATCAGGCTCTGTGTATGATGGAAAACACTTTTTAACAGCCAGCCTGAAAAGACAAGAGTGAAATAAATTAGAAATGTTCCTTCCATACCTTTAGTTTGACACACCGGCCAATAATGGGGCCTCATATTTATTATGGCTGGCCCATTCATTTAGATGCTAAGTGAAAAGTAACAGGAGAAGCGTACTGTATACAGTACATTTAACCTACTTTATGTTGAAGACAGTTTTGCCAATACTGACCAATTTCTGTTGAAAACATGCATTAATTGGTGCTGACAGAGTACATCAGCTTTCTCGCGTGTTCACTCTGGGCTTTTTAATCCGCAGACTAGCTGTCACATGCTTCCGTTTTCGTGTTCTGCATAGCTGGTGCCAACTTGTCAAAAAATCCCAAGCAGATGTCAATGTACAAAGTCGCAAATGACATGTGAAGTAAACTCCCCGGTTTTTTTCTAAGCCTAGCATAAGCACGCATATTCAATCCACCAGGCTGTCAAGAAATATGTTTTAAAGAAAATAAAATGACTCAGATTGAATAATTCATTTTTGTGTTCTTGTTTTGATTTTTGTCTCAATAATATCCGTAAAACGTGTCTGTACAAACTCAAAATATGCCTATATTTCTTTTTCTTTCTTTCTGTTTTGTCTTCGCTTTAGCTCAGTGTCTGAATGATCAACCTCATGGTTAACACTGAGGCAGAAAAAGTTGTAATGCTAATGACTGTGTAATACTTTAGTACAGTGATTCTAATATGACGACGATATATTCAACATATTTTTGACTGGAGGATAGGGACGTCTGTACACTGTTGAATCAACGCACCACATTTGAAAATATCACCGGCAGACTCCGGAGAATAAATGAAGCCACCGGTTCTGCTGCGTGATGACGCATGAGCGGAGCATCACTTCTGATTGGCTAAGTGAACAGGTAGGTAGTGACGCGATGTGGAACATAAACAACAAACAATGGGCTGTCGGTTATAGATCGTGTGAAGTACTTTAACCGACAGAAGCTATTTGTTCGGGAAACTGTTTCACATTTGAGAACTATTGCGAGTTTCGGCTGTGACGTATTTGACGCAAGGTGAGAGATTTTAAAAATATGTTATGTGTGTGTAATACGATCTTTTTGCTGACATAAAAGAGTCGGGCGTTTCACGCTAAATGATTGTTTTTAAACGTCGATAGCTAGGATTATAGTTTTTGCAAATGCATCTACTGTAGCTAATTTTGTCTAATGTAAACTAGTACCGTAAACAATCTAATCACACCGAGTAAAAGGGTCGTTAAAAGTTCTCTGTCGCCATTTCTTTATTTCCTTAACAACAGCGGTGACTCCAGACGATTTTACATTGGGCTTCCAAATGTTTTGTTTGGTCTGAGGGCAAGGTTGTTCCCTTAATCAGAATACAGTTTCACATATAGGTAAACTGAGTCAATAAAAGACCCACAAGTGTGTGTGTGTGTGTGTGTGTGTGTGTGTGTGTGTGTGTGTGTGTGTGTGTGTGTGTGTGTGTGTGTGTGTGTATATATATAATTTTTTTTTTTAACAATATTTGTGTTGATAGACATTTCTCTCGACTGTATTTTTCATACCAGGAACAACAAACAGATATTAAAGTAGCTGTCCAAACAGGCCCAATTAATACGTTTGTGAAACTTTGAAGTTATTTAAACAGCATTTTATATCTGTTTGAAGAGCGACAGAAAAACTGCCGGGATAATATTTTTGTCTTATTTTGTGCTTTTTGATTGTTTGTGTGTGTCAGTTACATATTTTCATCAGAATCCACAAAGCTGCGTGCTTACTGATTCCACACTGTATATGTAAAATGTAATGTAGATGTTTAGTTTTACATATAAGCTGCCATTTATTGACTAACCTGCTATTTTATTTTAGGACAACCATGAGGCTCTGCTACCCCTTATTGATATGCCTGGTCCTAACCATGTCCTCATCTTTCATAATTTCATCCAAGTAAGTACAGACAAACACTTAGGAGGTGGTTCATTAGAACGTATAGATTTATGTAACGATAGACTGAATTTGTTTTCTTGGTTTTTGTTTTTTAAGAAATCTTTCTATATTTCAGACACATGTGGACCAAAATGATCCTCACCCATCACTGGCCAACCACTTTCTGTTCGGTGAGTTTGTATAATTAATGAAATCATTGCCCTTTAGTTATCGTAGTTGTGCAGAACCAGTTCCTGTCTTCCAAGTGAAGCAACCTTATATAAAAAAGGAAAAAGTGCACTCATGGCAGCCACACCCAGATTGAACTCTGCTGACTGACTTTTTTATTTTATTTAAAGTGTCATTATTTAATGCCAAGTGCCTCATATTTCACTTGTTCCATTCTTAGTTTTTGGTTCCTTTCCAAAACATTTGAAGTATGCTGGGTTTGATTCAAGCTTATCAAAGTAGTTTCAAGGTCAGTATTATGAAAACACAGGGTTAGTATCACTTCTTACCTGGGTAACACTATGTATCTAACATGATACAGAACGTGTTCTAGTTTTTCAGTAGCAGCTGAAGTCTTTTCTTCATCGGTAGATCAGTAATAAAGCTCTCGTAGACACAACATAACACAATGACTTTCTCGTGTTGACTGCAAACAGTTTTACCACAACTGCACCTTAAGCCCTTGAAACAATTGCTAGAAAAGTCCTTTTATTTAAAAAATGAAAATAATATTATAATCTGTATGATTTTTTTTTTCATTTGTATCCCATCAGCCATATTTGTGCAATTTGTTCCTTAAACATTTATTGTGCAAGTTATTATTATTATTATTATTTATTTATTTATTTATTTATTTATTTATTTTGAGGGGACAGGGGTCATAGTAATGATGCAGAAGTTTAAAAAATTCAAAGAATTAATACTATACTACTGCACAGCTCATTTTTTGAATTAGACACTGTAATTGTAATCCTGCTGATTGGTGAGCTGTGTTATACTCAGTCTGCATTGTCTTTAACCTCATCATACATTTCTATTAGTTTTACTCTCCTTTGTAGACTCAGCCTGTCCGTGTTTGTGATCGTGATTGGTGCCAATGCCACCCCGTTCATTCACTTGTAAATAAGCTGACCCAGGTTTTACAGTCTATCAAGTTAATGGCCACCTTCATGTGATCGCAGCCTGAGTATTAAGATAAGATAAGATAACTCTTTATTGTCATTGCACAGTCATACATAGTACAGTAGTACAATGAAATTGGAAAACTGTCCTACGTCGGCACTACATATAACACAACACGACACAATATGACACATCACAACGCAACAAACAACACAACACAGTATATTAACTTGGTATAAAAAAGAAGAATAAGTGTATGTGTATTGCACACTGTTATTATTGCACATTAATTATTATTGCACCTTGTTATAAATATAAATATTATTATTGTTATTGTTTTAAACATTGTTACCTCCCCCCTAAAAAAAAGTCCAGGGAGGTATCCAGTCAGGTCAGCTATTTACATTGATCAGGGCTATTGCCCTGTTGTAAAAGCTGTCCTTGAGTCTGTTTGTTCAGGACCTCAGCAGCCTGAACCTCCTGCCAGACGGCAGCAGCTTAAACACCCGGTGTCCTGGGTGTGTGCACCCAGGACACCGGGTGTCCAATGATTTTTGGACACCCGGTGTCCAATGATTTTTTTGGGCCATGTTGATGACCCTCTGGAGTGCCTTTCTGTGTGCTGTGGTGCAGCTGGAGAACCACACACCGATGCAATATGTCAGCACACTTTCAATGGAGCAGCGGTAGAAGACGGTCAGCAGCTCCTTCTTCAGGTCCATTTTTCTGAGGATTCTCAGAAAGGGGAGACACTGTTGGGCCTTCTTTAAGACCGCAGAGGTGTTAGAGCTCCATTGGAGGTCTGTGTCTATGTGCACACCCAGAAACTTGAAACTGGAGACCCTTTCCACGCACTCCCCGTTGATGCTGACAGGCTGCAGCTCGGACTTCCTCCTTCTGAAGTCAACTACCAGTTCTTTTGTCTTGGTGGTATTGAGGTCCAGGTTGTTATCGACACACCAATCTGACAGCCTCTGAACTTCAGCTCTGTACGCCGTCTCATCTCCCCCTGAGATGAGCCCCACCACAGTGGTATCATCTGCAAACTTGATGACTGTGTTGTCTGGGTGGAACTAACACAGTCATGTGTGTACAGAGTGTACAGTAGGGGACTCAGTACACAGCCTTGTGGAGAGCCGGTGTTGAGGCTGAGGGCTGAGGAAAGATGAGGCCCCACTCTAACTCTCTGTACACGGTCTGAGAGGAAGTCTCTGATCCAGCGGCAGGTGGTAGAAGGAAGTCCAATTTCCAGCAGTTTAACTATTAGTCTGTCCGGGAGTATCGTATTGAAAGCAGAGCTAAAGTCAACAAAGAGCAGCCTGGCGTAACGGCCCTGCACTTCCAGGTGAGAGATGGTGGTGTGGAGTGTTGTAGCAATAGCATCTTCAGTTGATCTGTTAGCTCTGTATGCGAACTGGAGCGGGTCGAGTGTGGGTGGCAAGCAGGACATGATGTGACGTCGGACCAGTTTCTCGAAGCACTTCATTATAACAGGTGTTAGAGCAACTGGTCGGTAGTCGTTGAGGCTGCTAATATTAGTACGCTTTGGCAGTGGGACAATTGTGGCTGACTTTAGGCACGGCGGGATGCAGGACTGGGACAGTGAAGTGTTGAAGATCTTAGTGAAGACCCCAGCCAGCTGGTCTGCACACTCTTTTAGGACCTTTGCGGTTACCCCATCTGGTCCGGCGGCCTTCCTGGGGTTCACTGCCCTCAGTGTGTGCCTCACCTCATATTCCTGCACTATGAGGCTTGGGCTGCTGCTGTCCGATGTTTTTGCTGCTGCTGCCTCTGGTCCCTTCACCTCAAAGCGTGCGAAGAAGTGGAGTGTTAGTGTTAGGGGAAGTGAAACCAGATAACAGAAAGTTATCCTGGGTATGTTGACTTCCTTTAGGACAGACCTCAGAACAGTTCTCATATCCCACTGCATCTCTATTGTCAAGCTTTGAACTGAGTCTCCAAAAGGCAGATTTTGTTCATTTCAAGTCATTCTTTAGTAGATTTATGTGTGATTTATGAGGCAGATGTAGCTTTTATGGGAAAAGTGCACCATGTACTAGGGTACAGTTGCATTCAAAAATTGTAAATTTGTGCATAAATACTGACCTGAAACAGTCCTAAGAGTTCATATTTATCTGGAAATAAATACGAGGATAGTGAATTCCTGATAGCTCTGTAATTTGTCTTAAGCTATTTGCAGTTAATTTGAAGCTTTTATTTATGCAATCCTGTTAAGTATTCACAACATCTGAGTCTTTGGCATTTGTTTGTATATTTATTTATTTATTTGGTCGTAGGAGCTTCAAAACGTGCTTAATTATTATCATGCAAAGTGAACAAACTGAGCTTGCAGTTCTCAAATATCATGTGATATCTTTGCGAGCTATTTGGTCGGACGTGTTGAGATTCTCCTTTGTCGAAGTAAGAGTTTCATTGTGATCACAAGTACGCAGTTACCACAACTGACGACACAAAATGAACATCCCCTTTTTTGTGGTTTTTGAAAGCACTTTTCCTGGTAATTATTCTGTCTTGTGAACTTCTCTGACTGAGCATGTCTGTGGGTGTTATATAAGGGTTTATGGCACATACACGACTGTGTCAGAAGGGCATGTCTGATTTGGTAACATCGATGACCCTCGATTAGTTGTACTGTTATTTAGGCATTTTGCTCAGGATGTCAGTTTGCCCTAGACGCGTTTCTGGCTGCTCTCGTTTATGTACACTGAAGATGGAAGCAATAAAAATCCACCACTACAAAGAAAAATACAGCGCAACAACACAACAAACTGCAGGCCCCAAATGACCTTAAAAAAACAACAAAACAAATCAACTTCTCAACTTATCACACACACTGTAGCTTTAAAGGGGTTCCTCATTTCATCAGTCATCAAAGTTCCTGACTGTGTATATACGTTGAATACGTGGTTTCAGTTTCCGATGTGGAATGATTATTAGAGTTGTCTAAATAAATGTTTATATATTTTAGATGGAGCACTGTCAAAGCAACATTAGCCAGTGGACACTACATGGATTCTGGTAAGTGTGTGTGTGTGTGTGTGTGTGTGTGTGTGTGTGTGTGTGTGTGTGTGTGTGTGTAATACATTCCTGATTACAAGGATGTATTACATGTTTTCCACCATACTGTATATATTGAGTGAATAATGAGGTTTTTTACTTGGTGAAAAAATGAAATCTTTGGCCAAACTATTCATTACCACTGTTGTTATTGCTTGGCTGAATTATGTTTGTTTGTTTCTGTTTTGTTTATTTGTTTGCGTCAATATCCCCTTTTTTCTGTGAGTGAATGAAGTTTGAATCTTTCTTTTTTCAGGCCAGATGGTGGCGCTTTCTGCAATTCTTCATGGCATTTCAACTCTTCCGAAATAGAGGTAAAACACTATTCAGAGTCTTTTTCTAAATATATTTTTTCTTAGGTGAGTGTAACTCACAGAAGATAATATAACACAAGCTTAAATACCAGTTTGCATATATTAAAAAAAGCTGGAATTAGTTCATGAAATGAATACACAAGTCTCCAAATAGCTGTTTTGAAGTGAAGCACCCAAAACTAAAAAAAAATACAAATAAGCATAGAAACCATTTGAAAAGGTGAATTTCTCCTGTTTTTATACTTTAGTCCAGGGGTGTCAAACTCAAATACACAGTGGGCCAAAATTCAAAACTGTAACAAAGTCGCTGGCTAACGTTAATATTTATTGAAATATATTTATTCCTCCAGATATAAGAATGAATCTTTTCTTATGGACTCAAACACATTTTGCTAAAAAACTGAATATGGAACAAGCAAAGCTTAATACTAAACAATATATATATTAGCTGTATAATACCAGTAGGCCAGCTCTGATAGTAATTTGGTATGGCTTCACGGGCCAAATGTAATTAGGCTGTGGGCCAAATTTGGCCCGCGGGCCAGAGTTTGACACCTATGCTTTAGACCTTTTAGTGATGAATAAAACAACGCATGCCTTTGCGTGTATGTTTTCAGGACCTGCTCCCAGACATGAAGACGAGTTGGCCTGACTTGTTTGATCCCTTGTCTAATGACTTCTGGTATGTCTGAGCTGCTGGAACTATAGAGCACTTCTACTACCACTTTAGTGTTGCTTTAATTCAGGGATGTGAAATTAATTAAATTAATTTTACATAGTGGCCGATAAACAGTCTGAGGAATAAGATACCAAAATGTTTTTTGTTTTTTGTTTTAATTTACACACAGTTTTTATTAATTCACATAAAATGTTCAATTTTTTTTAATTTACTGTGGACTCGTTGTGCAAAACAAAACAAAAACCCCCAGAAATTGTCATGCAACTGTTTATCTATTCTTTTGGCCAAAAAGGAGGTGTTTTTCAGCAGGAAATTTTCTGCGTTTCTTCATATTTATCATAGCTATCCAGGTGGTAGGATTGGAGTCTTTGCCCCCCAGGATTCATGTTTGACACCCCTGCCTTATACGAATGCTGCTACATGGTCTGTTTGAGCAGTCCAGTGAATCTTTAAGATAATATGAACATTTCCAAATAATTTTATTTGTGTGCTTTAGGAAATATGAGTGGAAGAAACATGGTACGTGCGCAGCCAAAGCCATTTCTCTGAACAGCCAACATAAATACTTCAGCAAGGCACTGGATCTGTATCATACACTGGATTTGGACAGGTACAAACCACTCGCATATTTACACGTTTATACATATGCACACCTGATTCCTGCAGTCCAGTCCAGAGAAACGCATACAGTTATTTTATGTATGGAAATGTCTGTTTTTGTTATTTTAGCATCCTGAAGAAGTTTTCCATCACGCCTTCTCCGCAATACTATAATGTAAGTTTGATTGTATTTGTACAATCCCAGCTTAAATCTTGTTAGAAGTACCTCACAAAGTTAAAGGTCATAACTGCAGCTTCTCTTATTTTGCTCCTGATGTGTCTGTGTAGTTTTCATACATTGAAGGAGTAATAGAAAACTTCTACCACGTCAAACCTAAGATCCAGTGTGGCCATTCAACAAAGGTACATTTCAGGTTCACTGAAATTATTTCAAAATGAGTTTTAACACGTCAGCTGTTAAATTGTTAATTGGTATGTTTTTGATTGTTTGTTTTGACAGAATGACAGTTTCCAGGTTTTGGGGCAAATTGAGTTGTGCTTCAACAGTAGTTTCGCCCTGATGGACTGTGAGAAACAAGTTTCCACGGAATCTGATCCTGATAGAGGTTGGGACTATCCCATGAATGTTGACAAGGGATCAGGGTTATCTGTGTGCAACCACGATGTGCCAGTTTACTATCCACCTGTTGAATAATACAAAAAACCCAATATTTTCACAAATTGAAATTGTACAACACACTATGATGATGATTCTTTTTTATTCGAATGCATTTAAATTCTAACTGTGACTTGAATAAAAACTGCCTTTGATTGAAATGTTCTTTTTACGTCCTACAAACCAGGACGCACACTCAGCCACACTCCACTGTCACTTTGTGCTTTGCTGGAATTATATTCCCGTCTGACTCTTACAAGTAGATAAGACTGCCAGTGCGCAGCATGGGTTTCTCTGCAGCACAGCAGGGGCATTATGGTAATTTCAAGTCAGGACGGGCAGGGAGTTTAATATGCTGCACATTTATAAATCTTCGTAGTGTGTATTTTTTTTATTATTGGTAGGCATATTTATTTCTGCATTGCTACATGTGCCTATGTACCACCTATTGTGTGTCCTCTCTCCTGTTTTGGCAGGGGTGTTTGCATTTCTTTGTATATAGTAATGCATATATATATACACACACACACACACACACGCACACACGCAGTGAAATAGATGATATGCATGTTTTGAGGACCATCTTTGTAAGCCCACAGTGCCACTTCTGAAACACTTTATAACTGCCAAGTATGTGTGTTTGATGTTTCCTTTTTAGGTCTGTTTCCATAAATATAAGGTAGTATGCAGTAAATCTTTCATTTATTTCAATATTCATTAAGAGATGTGAGTGTCAGCACAGTACATTACAGAAGATGTTACACAAGTTCACAGCACATCAGTTTTTGCTGACCTATGGCCTGAATAGGGTTTAGCACTTGTTTTGGAAAAGGTTATTTAACACCTCACCGATCTGCACACAGACTTGTTTCTATTGATGCTGTTGGACTGTGGCTTTTTGTTCATAGATGAATTATTTTAAATCTAATGGATTTTATTGTATCTACAGTAGATCAATGCTGTAGTGTGAAATTTCTGAACTAAGCATGTGTATCATTTTTTTTCTCTCACAATAAAGCCTTCAATATCTATTCAGTGTCTGCTATAATCATTATGTAAAATGTCATTTTGATATGATGTATTATTTGCTTTAAAAAATTTTACATGCCACAAAACATGGGATGGTTTTAACATGCATCCTGACATGTAGTGTAGTATAGCGTCGTAGTAGTGTCTGTCTATATCGGTGTGTATAAATATTAATGTGATCTACTTATAGATCCTTAATCCCAAACGGACAAAGACACCAATCCATAATCCTGAATCTCCTCCCACAACACCGCACAGCAGCATGACGAAACACATCTGATTACATTTTCATTAGCGGTAAAGTGACCTAACATTCTGTGCCAGTTACATCCAAATATGATCTAACATGAAACGATGCCAAAACCCCACATTTTTAGTCATTTCCAGGTTTAGAGATCACAGTTTGGGCGTTTCAGGTGAACTGCCCTGGATGAAGAATTTTAAACGTAATAAAAAAAGAAAGAAAGAAGAAGAAATTAAGCCTTGGTCAGCCATGGACACTTGACCTAGGTAGAACGCAGTCCTCATTTACCCCTTACCTCCCTCTCAGTTTGGTCTGTATTTCCATCTCCCTCCCCTTTGCTCTCTCTCTTGTTATGTAACACTGCAGTTCTGCAAAGCTGCTGATGTGACAGATCCAAGTACCTACACACACAGACACCCACACCCACTGATCAACCAGATCCCTCTGTACTTGATTGTGATTGTTGTCCTTGTTGCTGTCATCATTATTGATCCCAACATTGATTACTGCTGCCCTCGGGATTTTATTGAACACTGTTACTCTGATGTGATGTGACTGGATCTTAGCCACTCTTTTCCCATCTACTGGTATGCAGCCTACACTGTAGCCCATGTTATTTTGTCATTTGTTTCATTGCCTGTGTGTGTGGAATTGGATGCCACACACAAAAAAAGAAGGGACAGGAGAAGAGGGAGACGGAGAGGTAGCTGGGTTACAACCATGTGACCTCACCAGCTGTTGCTGTATGCTGTTGGGAGAAACGAAGAGGGAGGTGAGGGCCAGGAGCAGGGGCGAGAATAAGAGAGGGAGGGGTGGCACACAATGTGACTGGTGACAATCCCTTGGTCTGCAGAAAGAGAGAGGGAGGTAGGGAGCAGGGGATGAATAAACACATGCACGGGCAGAGATGTGAAGAGGGAGCTCACACACACACGCACCTCCTGATTCAGCGGAACAGATTTATTCGTCACCTCTCCCTGCAGCCTCACGCAGAGAGCCTGATGCAAAACACAAGGCAACCCCAAACCCAGCAGCACAGGTCCCGTTCATCATCCCGCTGTCTGCCTGCGTAGCTTTAAGCCTCTGTCACAACTCTGTCTGCGTGCTCGCCGGTGTCCACTGCAGCTAAGGGACACGGGACCGTCTGAGAAGCCACCGGAGGGACGAGAGGCGCATGCGAATGATGGGAAACCTAAAGAGCGAGGACCGCATTGAGGATGGACCAGTGATGAAGCTGCGAGACAAATAAACGAACCAATAAAAGATCAATTTCTACCCTAGGACCCCCGGCAGGGGACATGATTATCATTATGGGATAGATGCACAAAGGGGGGAGAGAGAGAGAAATCTGCTCGTTGCCATGGATACCAGCACGCGAAAATTCACGGTGAGGAGATGGTTTTCTATTTACCTGAAGAACAAGGCGGCAAGAAACAAAAACACCGCTGGGTTCTGCCAGGTGGAGGTGAGTGGCCTTAGCAGATCATTTGGACACAAATGCAAATATGTTTGCTGTAAGGGGGGCTGCATCACATTTGCACCATGTGCGTTTGTGGGAATGTAACAGCCCAGACACCTGCTCACATGTGCAGCAGACAGTGGACTGCGTGTGTGTGTGAACAGTCCGTGTGCACATGGGAATGATAGTGGAAAGAATGTGTGTTATTTGGTTTGTTTTGGAGTGTTTCAGGAGTCACTGCTGCGTCGTTCTACAGCTGTTGCTGCTTTCTCTGGCCGTGGGGAAGCTAGAAAATAGAGGAATACGAAGGGAGTCACTGTGCTGTGACGGACATAGAGAGAGAGAGAGAGAGAAGTTGTATGGAAATATAGTCAGACAGAAACGCTAACGGGCAAACAAGCAACAAGGCAGGCAGGTTGATAGATAAATGGATACAGACAGATTGATTCAGCGGTCAGCCTCAGCAGTGGAGGTTTATTTATAGCCCAAACAAAGCAGCAGGGCAGAGAGAGGCAGTGAGTCTTTTGTTGCAGATCTACCTGAATGTTTTGGATATTAATGGAGCAAAACCTCACCTTATCCCTCCCTTTTCTTTGTAAAGGAGTGCTGATGAATCATCTTTATAGGCTACCGTTAACGTGATTGTTTTATTTTAGCAAATGCCTGCCTGCTTGAGTTTGTTTACCTGTCTAGTCGCCTGTCCCTGGAATGGGATGCTCTGATGCTCCATCAGGAGTAGGTGGAAATTACTCAGGCGACCTTGTTTAAGGAATAAACCAGCAATTAAAGAACAGAAGGGAGCAGTTTGCTCAGTATGAGTTGAAACTTTCCAGCATGTTACAGTTGAAGCCAGGCCTTCAATGACCTCAAAGTGACTGGTGAAAAATCCCATTACAATAAGTTGGACTTTATATTTTTAGTGTGTAAATTAGCTCATGGATTGATTTGATCGAAGTGCATCAACATGCAAAATACTATATAATACAAACTGATATTTCAGTCACCCATTTATAATCCAATTCAGTTTTAAACAGTAAAATCTACAAAATGGCCGTTAAATATAACCTATTTTGCACATTTGCAAAAATGTTATCGTTTCATCTTCAAACTGGAAGAGATCTTCATCTCTTCATCTTACTTGAATCTATTGTACATGTGTTGTGGGTTATAGATCTATATTCTTGCTATTCACTTATGTCAGTAATTGTATGGTTTTTAGACTTCCACTGTCTACACTGGTATGGCATAGTTCGTATTAGTCATTATTGTACTATCAAGATGAGAACCTTTCCTATGTTGTTTTCTTGATGGTACATCAATCTGGAAAATCAGACTGCAATTACCTCTGAATTCCTGATAGTTAGGAAAATAGTTTGGAGAAACCAGCTGTTTTATCCTTGCTATAATGACAATAACATTTGAAGGCTGTATTTATTTTTCATGACTTGCTTTGGTGGACGTTTCTGGTTTAAGGGGAACTGTAGGTGGGAGATGGCATCAAAAGACTTGCCGTCACTGGAGAAATGAGACCATGTGATTATTTTCAGCCTCATGTGAACGTTCAGTCACTCTGGCTCCCAGATCGAGGGAAGCATTTCTTTCTCTTATCAAACTATTCCACGAGGATGGGTTAGTAGCTGATCACAAGCTGCATTAAATGCATAAAAGGGTATGAAAATACCTCAGCCAAGTGATTCTTCAGGACAGACAGAATCTTATCATATACTAAAAATGAAGGTTATCTAACAGGTTTCATCAAACAAGTGGAGGCTAGAAGAATCGATTTATAACCATTACCCATATTTACCAAGTCCTGATAGTGTTTTGTACAGAATTACAGTATAAAAGAAGTTGCAGTGTATATCATATTGTCACAATATCCAGTCTAAGCCTTGCCTCTTGTTGAAAGTTGGTCATTCACTTCATTAAGCAAACTGAATAGGCTGAAAAAGGCAGCTTACACTGTGCATGATTTCCAGTGACCTCAGCCAATATCTTGATAGCAATATAATGGCTTGTAGATGACTATCTATCTTTAGGTATGGATTTAATGAGTAATTATTACATTGATGGCCTTTTTAAATGCACATTGAGGTTATAGGGACACAATTTAATCATTGCTCATATGTTGTAAAGTGTAATTTATTAACTCGTTTAAATCTCACCTTAACCCTAATCTACCAATAATGACTTCTATCTTTTCTTTCATCAGGATGACAGTGTACTTAAGGAGTTTGACATCAGCCACCATGTTAAGGAGGGCTGTGAGAAAGCAGACCCTTCACAGTTCCAACTGCTTAAAGTGCTGGGACAGGGATCCTATGGAAAGGTACAATGTGCAACCATTTACTTACTGCAGCTTTAAGGCTTTAATCTGATAAAAGTGATGGGACACTGACACTTACACTGACTTACACTGACACTTACGGAAAATATCAGTGTTGACAATAAAAAAACATAAATAACCTTAAAAAGTCTAGAAGGTCACCTCTGAGGCTACATGTATTTGGTATAATGATCATGTTAATATTTTTTATTCCTCTCGGTTTTATTAGAATATGTGGACTTCTCACTTGATGATGCCCAAAAGTAAGTGCACATTCGTGTGACTGTTGAGCACTTCATCCAGACACCATCAGCATTAATATGCTGCTGTAATTGCCTCCAGTCCTGTGGGAAGTATTTCCAAGATAGCCTGAAACCACACTGCAGGAATTTGCTCCTGCTCAGACACCAGAACGTTAAGGTCAGACAGTGATGTGGTGCAATATGGTCTGCCTCGCAGTCAGTGCTGCAAGTCCTCCCAAAGGTGTTGGATTCAGTTGAAGTGAGAGGTCTGTGCAGATTGGTCAAAGCTTTTCACACAAACTCAAGAAATCGTGGGGGTTTTTTTGTACTTGCTTTATGCTATTGAAAAGAGGCGAGCATTTCTTAAAATGCAACTGTAAAAAAGAAAGTGCACTATTGTTCAGTCCACTTAGAACTAAGGTCCTGCTTAACTCTAAAAAACTAGATTCAAATGAGCCAGGAGATGTCCACTTACCTTTTGGCACAGTGAATATATGCGTGTCTGATTTCAGTGCCGCAGCTGATTATGCTTTACCAGCCAATCATCTGCTAATGATAAGCCATCTAGTTCTAATTATCTGTAGATTAGCTGCCTTGACAACGGTTTCACAGATCACCAAGTTTATTTAAATTAGTAAAGGCTCACTGATTTGTTAATGTTACTGTAGATTAGAGATCGGAATGGGCCTTACATGAAACATCAGCAGATGTTGGCATGTGGCTGCCGTTTCCAAGGCTGCAGGCATGGACAAAAGGTCACGTCACAGTGTGGCTTAGACAGCATGTTTACATAGCTTGCTATATGTCTGCTAAATTATTGCAGACCTTGTTTAAATCGTAGCTGTTGTCTCTGTTGCACCGAAACCACATTGATGTGGCTCTTTTATGTAACGTGATGGTAACTTGCTCCGGCTTGGTAACCTACAAAGGGTGAATATAGCATTTTTAAATGTTGTGAAATATAAATGACAAGTTTGTTTTTTTTCTTTTGTTTCAGAAACGTCACTACGAAAGAACAGTTGCACAAAATGTGATGTTTATGGTAATTATCATTGCAGGTGTTTCTGGTTAGAAAAATAAGAGGAGTGGACAGAGGACAGCTATATGCCATGAAGGTCCTGAAGAAGGCAACGCTAAAAGGTGATTTAGTGCAAATACACTTGGCATATTGCCCCATTGGCATCATTTCAAATAGTAATAATAATTTTTTTAAAAATTTCTTTCAAACAAAGCCTTTTTGTATCATGTTCTTGTTATTGGCTATATTTAAAGAAAGAAACAAAACAAGCACAGCTCCACAGAGGATTGGATCTGAGTCATGGTCATTTGTTAAAATTATTATTGGTTTAGTAGAGGAGCAATAGATATATCATTGCCCAAGTTCTCACAGTGCCCTACATTCAAGGGGATTTTGGGTAAAAGAGGTTAGTTTGTACTTTTGATTCAGATAAACTGTTTTGCGTCAGCCGAGATTATTGTAAACAGGGGTGTACTGTAAAAGCAGGTTCAGATGTCATGTGCTGATTTAGTGACTTTGTACAAGCCTTAATCCTCTTAACCTGCACCTCTGGAATCTAAAGAGTTACACTGTCATCTTGTCAAGCAGACAGATGTTGCAATAACACTGTTATTGTGGTTTTCATTTCACTATAAACCAGCTACACTGGATTTAATTTACCTTAATTTCAAGGAAATGCATTCTTATCCTACATAACACGTACTCGTGTTATTAGACTTGTGACATTTTACAGAATGAACTGGCTGAAACTTCATTAAAAAGACTGCCTTCTATCTCCTACTCAGTTCGGGATCGTGTGCGATCGAAGATGGAAAGAGATATACTGGCTGAAGTGAACCACCCATTTATAGTTAAACTTCACTATGGTGAGTATGAATTACTTGTGCTTTTTCAGCATGTATGTGTTGGAATCTATTGGCCTTATACATGTAGAATGATACATAGTGTTAATAGTGAATGTTTGGCCATTAAACATGGCCTAAGATTTGAAGTAATCAGGTCAGCATATGTACAAGTAATAAGGCAAAAACTCAGATTGCCCTAAATGCTCTATTTCAGAGTTTTTTTCTTTTCTTGGTTGTGTGCTGTTTTCCGAATAGCATCCACTTAAAGGGAAAATTGAGTTTAAGTAGGGGAAAGAAAGCTGAAGTGGCTTATTTCAGACAGTAGATGAACCAAGGGTTAGTAGTAAAGCCCAGTACAGGGCAAATAAGGATATTGTTGAACTATGAATCATGCAAAGCTACTTTAATAGAGTTAAGGAATAAAGGTGTGGAACCAGAAATGAGCATAGAAAAATTGTGTTGGGTAAGTCATTATTTGTTTAATAAATGTTGTTTAGCGTTGGTCTATATTCCTTGTCCCTGTAGTTCTAAATCAACAGCTAGTGTCTGTTTAAATGGGGCTGTGTGCTGTTGGGGGACTTCAGCGGGGCAGTTGACTAATTAGTCATTTTGATCTGTTACACAAAGACAAGGTGACATTTCACAAGTCATTTTTCTCATTGCATACATGTTCAAAAATGAGGGAAGTCATTGTAGTCTGCCCTTATTTGTATCTATACACAACTGCAGATAAATGTGCAGACTGTGCACAAAATAATAGAATACTTTATAGTCCTCAATACAGCAATTAAAGCCTCAAGACGTGTTTAACTTGCATTTCTGTTTGTGCATGTACTTATGTATTTGTGTAGCCTTCCAGACAGAAGGGAAGCTCTACCTGATCCTGGATTTCCTCCGAGGAGGAGACCTTTTTACTCGTCTGTCCAAGGAGGTAGGCTTCCTGGTTCAAATCATAATCCACTTCTCACTGTTTGTTATGGGAAGGTGTTTGTATAACTCCCATCATTCGCCTGTGAAAGAGATCAAAGACAGTCATTTTTTTTGTACTTTAAAGGAGGCACACATATTGAGACAATGTGCCATAGTTCGGTTGGCTCTGGTGAAAAGCGAATTTCATAGGAGAGAGCTCAAAAACAAATATGTGAATCAATAACAGACCAGTTTCCCCTTACTTTTCGTTTTTGCACATTATATTTAATACATTTGTTCATTTGTACTAGGTAATGTTCACAGAAGAGGATGTGAAGTTTTACCTTGCAGAGCTGGCTTTGGCCTTGGACCATTTACACAGTCTGGGGATCATCTACAGGGATCTCAAGCCTGAAAAGTACTAGCTCATAAACATCCCTTTTATGCATTTTAGAAAAAATATTTCGATGCTGATTTTAAAGTTCTCTTCTCCCTCTTAAGCATTCTTCTGGATGAAGAAGGACATATTAAGATTACAGGTCAGTACATCTGACTGAAAACTGTAATTCTCTGCTTTTCTGTCTCTATTTGTCTTTTGACTATGATCCCCTTTTGTCTCTGTCTCACTATCCAGACTTTGGCTTGAGTAAGGAAGCTATTGACCATGATAAAAGGGCTTATTCCTTCTGTGGAACAATAGAGTACATGGCTCCAGAGGTTGTAAACAGGAGAGGTCATACACAAAGCGCTGACTGGTGGTCATTTGGCGTGCTTATGGTAAGTCTTTTACTTTGATAGTCTCTCTACACTTCTGACATGCATGACTAATTTTCCTTCTGAGCATGCAGTCACTCTGCTGGCTTGTATGTTTTATCTAATAATGAATTAACTACAAACTCAGTTCTTAGATAATATGCCAGTGCACTGATTTCTTCGTTTGGCTTTCCTCTGGCAGTAAAACAACTTTAATTACTGTATCTGGCAGATTAGGTCCCATTATTTTCAGCAAACGTGCATCTGCTGGATGCTGCTTGTTTCGCTAGCCTGGTGGCTTACTTTACTAATACTGAGAGGTTAAACATTCACTGACAGCTGGCAGCTACATTAGGTCACCAGGGGAAGATGTCAACCCTGTCTGCCCTTGTCTGGTGTTAGGAATGTACTGATATTAAAATAAACAAATAAATAGCCGAAGATTTCTCAATGTGCTGTAGAGATATTGAAAAGTAAAAGAGATTACTGAAAAAAAGAGAACTCCTTCACATTGTAATCCAATCTTTAATGTGGGTGAATACCATTGGGTGTGGCAAAGTCTATTATCAGGGTGCACAGTAGGTTAGGTTTGTTACAGTGTTAACCAGTGTATATCTTTATTTTATGCCTCTCAGCCTTTTCCAGTTAAATGTGATTTAGGTCATGGTATTATGCGTTAATTTCAACAGCTTTGTTTCTGATTTGGCCCGTTTGCAGTGGAAGTCAAATGACTAATAAAATTTGAAGCAAGCATGCTAATGAGATAATCCACCTCCACAGCTTCCATTATTGGGCGGACGTGTTTTGACAGTTGTTTCGTTGTGTTTTCCAGTTTGAAATGTTGACGGGATCATTACCCTTTCAAGGAAAAGATCGGAAAGAAACAATGGCACTTATTCTAAAGTAAGACTAATTATTGTTGCTATTTTATTGAACCTTCACATCTTTTGCAGGATGTAATGTTTAAAAATTCTTATCTGTTTCCCATTGTCCAACTGCATTTCAATTATCTATATTGTATCTTTGATTTCTGAGGGTTGCTTTATAGGATAAGCTGCTTATATAAATCTGCAATTATTAACCTCAAGAGATCCACTATACCTGAATGAACATAAAAATAAACTGTCAGCAGACATAAACATGCATAAACCTGTTTCTTGGCTTGTGTGTTCAGGGCTAAGCTGGGAATGCCACAGTTCCTCAGTCCTGAAGTGCAGAGTTTATTAAGAGCGCTCTTCAAGAGAAATCCTGCTAATCGACTTGGTATGTATAAAAACCTTGAACAATGACAATTAAATGTGTTTTTAGAATAAATTTAGAAACTTAAACATCAGCAGTTTGTGTCCATTTGGATAACTTTTGAAGTCACTTCTTATTTTACACACTCTCTGGTCTCTTGTAATAGGTACACCTAATCAGCACCTCATTTGGGCAAATATTTTAGCAATTCAGCAGCAAATTGCATCACATGTCACATGTTTGGCATGTAGACATGGTCAGGATAACCTGCTGAAGTTCAAATGTGGCATTAGAATGGAGTGAAAGGTGAGCTGAGTGACTTTGACTGTAGCAGGGTTGTTGGTGTCAAATGGGCTGATCTGTATATTTCAGAAACTGTTCTGATCTACTGGGATTTTCCCACATGTTTAGTGAGTGGCAGCTCTCTGAGCAAAAATGCCCTGTTGATGTAGAAGAGCATGAATGAATATACAATACATTGAACCACATGGGCTACAGCAGCAGAAGACCACACCTCATGCTGCTCCTGTCAGCTAGAACAGGAAACTGAGGATATGCTCACCCAACTGGACAACAGAAGCCTGGAAGAAAAAAGTTTCCAGGTCTTATGAGTATCAATTTCTGCTGCAACATTTATATGACAGGGTCAGAAATTTGTTTACACATGAAAGCATGGGTCCATCCTGCCTTGTAGGAGGGTTAAGGCTGCTTATGATGGTGCAATAGTGTGGGGCATATTTTCTTGGTACATTTTGACCCCTTAGTATCAACATATGACATTTACCTGAATATTGTTAATGACCATGTACATCCCTTTATCCCTTTATAGTGTACCCATCTTCTGATGGCTGCTTCTGGCAGGATAATGTGTCGTGTCGCAAAGCTCAGATAATCAAAAATGGTTTCTTGAACATGACAATGAGTTCACTGTACTCAAATGGCCTCTATAATCACCAGATTTCAATCCAATAGAGCACTTTTGGGATGTGGTGAGACGGGAGATTTAGAGCAATTGTGTGATCCTATCTAAATCTCTGAGGAATGTTTCCATCACCTTGTTGAGTCTGTAGTGTGAAGCATTAAGAAAATTCTCAAGGGAAAAGTACCAGTACTAACAAGGTGCTAATTTGGTTTAAAAAAAAAAAATCTATTCATATTACAAATGTACCACATATAACACTAGAAATGATACTTTGTCCATTCATGGTTTACAAGAAATTCACCTGCTAAATTCATGATCATTTTAACAGTGATTTAAATGCAAGAGTGAGATAGCTCTCAAGAGCCTTAAAAAAATCACTAAGGGAAGTCGTCGCCCTGGAAACAGCTGTTTGACCTGTTGCCCTGTGGTAGATGTTACATTTCCACCAAAATAAAGGATAAATAGATTAAAGAACAGTTTTTTAAATGCACCATGGCATGGCGGATTTATTTATTTATTTGTAGTTTTTACTCCTTCATATCCATAATTATTTATTATCTTCAACTGAAAGGGTTTGTTTTACTGTGTGAATGATTGTTGAAGTGTGTGAATTGATTTTATTTTGGAGGTACATGCGGATGTAGCATTTCAGTTTTATTACATCTTGTGATTTAATGACAATAAAAGGCATTGCGGTTGATTCTGATTCTCTTAATCTGTGTTACTTATAGGTGCAGGACCAGATGGAGTAGAAGAAATAAAAAGGCACCGCTTCTTTGCATCAATAGACTGGAATGTAAGCATAATTTATTAAGAGTATTCTGCAATATAGATATTTGGGTACTATAAACTTGTATTATACCGTTATTGTCTTATAACCACTGTCTTTCTCACATTTACGAATAATAATAATTTCTTACTGCATCAACTACATTGCTGTTGTAGTTTTAAAGTGCAGTAATGAGATTATTGACCTGAGTTAAACTTAAAATCAGCATCACATGGATCAGGTTTACTTGGTCAAGACAACTCCTCCTTCACTTCCTCAAGAGTTGTCCATAGTCACGGCACTTTAACATGCTCATGTGATGTTGGTTAGCAGCAAAACCCCAAACTTCCTTTTCTGTCCATCTTGCCTAACTTTTTTTGCAACTAATCTTCTTATCTGTAAAAGCCTTTGTCTCAGAAAGTTGGCTCATGTGCAAATGTTTTCACTAAAGTCTTTATCCTAACTATCTTTATCTAACCTTGAGACCTCAGCTCCTTTGGATGTACAGTGAAAAACAATTTGCCCCCTTGGCGTTCTTCAAAATGCAAGCTGTGCTTATTGCATGTTAGAAAACAAAGCCCTCCTACACTATTTGTGGGCTGAAACATTTGTCAACAGAAGCAGAAAAAATATTCATGTCATTTTTATAAATTTGAAGATTGCATTTCTGATAGGGCTATTTCATTCCCATTCCATTCATCCAGCATTACTTTAAAAAAGTGACACATATTCATGTTGGTTACACACCACCAAGCCTGCTGGCTGCCATAAAAGGGGATTTGGTTTTTCTCTCTCCTTTAAATCAGTTTTAAAAGCAGAAATCTCAGCAAAGCAATCATAGACTCATTTGTTTTATTGATTGTAATCATCCTCCCTATAAATATCTGCTCTGATCTCTTAAAGCACCCTTCCTTTTTAATCACAGATGTTTGGAAGGCTTGGGACTCTCATTTATCTGCTTTTGTGAATTATGGCGCTCTTATTTCTATCAGAATCCACTATCATCGGCTTTACATGCTCGCTAATCTCTGCCCTCACCGCGGGTTCCCATTGCTGCCCTCCTCACTACATTACTACCTGCTCACTTCCACACAACATGCTCCCATTTACACATGGTGTTGCTGGCTTGATGTGACAACTGTCAGTAAGAGGCTTATGCTCTATTCTGCACTATGCTAATTAAATCACTGTACTCTATCAGGCAGAATGATTCCACATCATTCATCAGAACCTTTTCTGACTTTGCGGTCTTAGCCTTTCTTTAATGTCTTGATCTTTGAAATAGTAAAGATTTGTAGCCTCATTTTCTCAACACTATCAAATGAAAACCAAATACTCAAATGCATCAACACTTCCCAATTTCTAATAGTCTCTGTTGGTTACTTTCCATGTATGCTAGTAATAGGAACCCAGAAAGATTGTTCCCTTTAATGGGCACTGCAATGGTGACATCTGCAGGCTATACTCAGTATTACAGCAGGTGCCTTTCTGCTGCTGTATAATAGCTATACAACCAGCCACCAGTCTTTACTTCATATTAATTTTTTATAATTTTTTCCCATTAGTGGATATTCACATTTATTCAGAAGTCCTGAGAGGTGTTTCAAGATAGGTGCCAAGTTGCAGCACTTGCTTCTAGAAGGACCTTGTTGTATTCTGTCACATTCTAATTTGCTCTACTTTTTTCCTTTTTTTTTTTTTTTTAACTTCGGTTAATGAATAATTGAATATGATAGTCAGTGAAGAGCAAAATATATTGTATGATGGATGGTTGCGTGGTGGTTAGCACTGTTGCTTGAGTTCAGCTCCACCATCTGGGTGGGGCTTCTCTGTGTGGAGTTTACATGCTCTCCTTGTGTTTCCGTTGGTTCTCTCTGGTTTTCTTCCACACTCCAAAGAATGCAATTATTGGGGTAATGGATGATTTGAAGTTGCCCATGTGAGTGTGAATGGTTGTCTGTCTCACTGTGTTAGCCCTGCGATAGACTCCCCCACAACTCTGACAAGGATCAATCAATCAATCAATCAAGGCTTTATTTGCCACGTGCAGGTTGCCCTGATTCTGAGAACTCACGACCACAGTGAGCCTCCCCAAGATGTAATCCAATTTGCGCTCAGAGATGTTATTCCGAGCGAGCCCTTCCAAGATGTAATCCAGTCTGCACTCAGAGATCTTATTCTGAGTATTCACAGCAGCCGTAAGCCTCTCCAAGATCTTATCCATGCTGCACTCAATGAGGATAAGCAGAAGAGTTGAATGAATGGATGAATGAATGAATGAATGAATGGATGGTGTAACAAGTGCTACAGTTTTGCACAGTGTCTGTCTGCTAGCTAATGGTACAGTGGCTGTACCCAGTGAGGAAAAAATGATAAAGTGGGATAATATCACTCGAGACAGAGAAAGGTATAAGAAAAAACAGGAAGATGAGAGATTATTTTCTAAGGTAAGGACTCCTTAGCAAGTCATATTATAATATGACAAAATAAAGTTGTCCTAAATCATTTTAATTTTTTTTAATTGGATATTGGATCTGTACATACATTGTCTGGATATTTCCAATTCTGAAACTATATTACAAGAAAAGTCCATGTCAATCAAAGTATATACTTGACTGTAAGGGCAGGCTAAACTGGGAAGTTTAATGGTTACAGTGATGAACTGGTGAAGGGCAGACTTATTCATAGAAAATGCTCTTAAACTGGTTGTTGTTCTCTTTTCTTTTTTTTTTTAAAATTGTTTTAATTTGTAATATTAAAAAATATTTTACAACTTACAACAATTGTTTAGCATAGCACTTTGGGCAACTATTTTTCCGTGTTTAAATAAATAAATTTTACTTATTTGTCTTATTTGTGTGCAAACCTAGCAAACTTGTGGACTATTTTTTATCAGATCTGACTGAAATAATCATTTTTTCCCCCCCAAACACGCTATAGTCAAAGCTTATACATCGTGTTTTCTTCTGACTTTTATACCTCCTTTACAGATCATGTGTCATTTGTGTTGAATTCAGCTGCTGGTGTAACAGTATTCCAATTTCTCTGGGTTTTTTTGCTCATTCATAGAAGCTGTACAAGAAGGAAGTGAGGCCTCCTTTCAAACCAACCGTTGGCAGACCTGAAGACACTTTCCATTTTGACCCTGAGTTCACCTCCAGAACACCTACTGGTAACTAAAGCATGTAGACACATGCAAATACAGAATTAATGTATAGGTTATAGGCGACTGGGTTCAATGAGGAACAGAAAAAAAAGAAAACTACCATACTGATCAATCGTTTTTACTAAACTTTAATATTTCTAAAACACTGTCAAGCACTCTGCAGACGTTTGGTTCAATGTGTCTTGGGATATCCAGATTCTCCAGGCATCCCTCCCAGCGCGAACACACACCAGTTGTTTCGTGGTTTTAGCTTCGTTGCAACTAACCAAACTCAGGAGTCCAGTGTTGCTACAGTAGCGGCCACTCCTCAAGAGCTGAACATCAACCCCATCGCACAGGTATACATCTAATTAAATCACAGACTAGCACACAGTTTATGTATTTAGGTTTCTGACCTTTCCAAACATTACCTCAAATAAATTCCCTGTCAGCAACTACATAAGTCATTTAATGTTGTAGTGTTTGTGCACCTGATTATGTGTTTTCTACATAGCATCTCTGTGGTGATCTGGCCTTCGGTGATGTTTATGATCTGAAAGAAGAAATCGGACACACGGGAACCTCTGTCTGCAAAAGATGTCTGCACAGAATTACTTCAGTGGAGTATTGTGTGAAGGTAGGGGACACTTAACCTGAACTGCAATTTATTTAAATACACTATTGATTTACTCTTTGCCTTTAGAGCCTCAGCAGTAATATTCTTTACTATGATGGTGTTGAATGTAAACAGGGCTATTTGTTAGCTTGTGAAATGACTATTTGGGGCTGCTTACATATTAAAATAAAATGTAGTCAAACTGGACAAAACTTGCATGCTTCCTGAGCTGTAACTCAGAGTTAGTTACAAATCACTGGTGATCCATCATGCTAATATGCTGTGCACATTTATGTCAGATTATTGACAGAGCGAGGAGAGATCCGTCAGAAGAGATTGAGATTCTGTTAAGATATGGACAGCATCCAAATATTATTACCCTGAAAGATGTAAGTACAGCACATGAGCCTGCAGAATAGTGATTTTTAATTTGCATGTAATTTTTCCTAAGCATTTTTTCTTTTTTTTAAAAAAGATATTTGTTTGTATCTTTCTTCTGCATTCACCTTTACCTATAGGTGTTTGACGATGGCCAGTGTGTGTATCTGGTTCAGGAGTTACTGAGAGGGGACGAGTTGCTGGACAAAGCTCTGATGCACACAAATTTTACTGAGAGAGATGCATCAGACATCATGTGCGCTCTGACCAAAACTGTGGAATATTTACACTCACAGGGGGTAAGCTGGATGAAAGGAGGGCTTAAAAATCAATCTTTGAATTCAGGTGGGGCGGTTCAGTCCCAGTGTCATAACATAGTGCATATACATTGCCAAAGCCCCATAACTTCAGAGGTCATTAACATCAGCACAAAAGCTGTGTGCTGGGAGCTTCAATGGCAATGTCCATGTAGTATATTTATATGTATGCACATTATTAAGGCTTAATGGTGACTATTTTTTCCAGGTTGTACATCGAGACTTGAAACCCAGCAACATCCGCTATGCAGATGACAGTGGACTCCCAGAATGCATCAGGATATGCGACTTTGGTTTTGCCAAACAGCTCAGAGCTGAAAATGGTTTGCTGATGACTCCCTGTTACACAGCTACGTTCATGGCTCCTGAGGTACATCAGCAGTCATTACAAGGTGCATCTCAGTATCACTTATACAAATTATTTAACAGATATCTGTGAGTGGTTTTCTTTGCTTTTTTTTGTATATGTGCAGATTTTGAGGAAACAGGGTTATGATGCAGCCTGTGACATCTGGAGCCTGGGGATCCTGCTCTACACTATGATAGCTGGGTGAGTTTATAAGGTCTTAATACAACTCACACTCACAGGTTGTGATACAGTTCAGGTGTAAACTGTATGCAATGTTGCAATTTTCTTCAAAGACTCCTGCAACAGCAATAAACAGCATGTCTAAATACACCCCCCCCCGGTGAAATAACAGTGAGACAATAAGAGAAAATGTCTCAAATCGGAGGTCATGGTTTTCTGGAGTCATGCATTTTTTATTAGATTGAATTGCTTTCTGTAAGTGGGCATTGTTGTTGGTCAGTTTCAGCCCATTTGCCAGCAGTCCCGAGGACACAGCAGAGGAGATTCTGGCTCAGATCGGCTGTGGGAAATTCATTATCACAGGAGGAAACTGGGAGCTGGTGTCAGAAGCAGCCAAGGTTCAAACATCTTAATGCTTTCTGATTTGCATAAAATGGAAATGTTTGCCTCTAGCATCGTAGTATCAGTGCAGAACAAATATATTAACCGTTCATGTCCCCATTTGTTTAACAGGATATCGTGGTTAAGATGCTCCATGTGGACCCCCACCAGCGTCTGACTGCCCCACAGGTACCATTAGTCCATAACATAAACTGGCCTGTCATATGGCATATTGTGCTATTAGTATAGTGCAGGTCCCACCTTGACAGTTTTTTTCCATCATGATATAATGAATATGCTATAGATATAAATTTTATTAATTTAGACAAAGCAATAGATTACAAAAGTGTATACAAACTGAAATTTTACATACATATCATTTCCTTTAGCCCAGATGTACACATATGCACTGAGCCTGATGTTCATACCACGACAGTATATCATGTGTTTGACTATATACCTACACTGTTTGCAATACTACAGATGTATCATGGTTGTGGTGTTACCACGTTATATACATTATATACATTCAGAGCTGATATCAGTTTTACTGTGATGCTTTTCAGGTTCTTCGTCACCCCTGGATTGTTGAGAGAGACCAGCTCTCTGACAAATGTCTCACCAGACAAGATCCACTCATTGTCAAGGTCAGAGCCTTTGTACTCTATGTAATTACAAATACAGATTACTATAGAGATAAGCATATTATCCCCTGTATCGTGCTAATATAGATGGAAAAATCACTTATATATCTATTGCTCAATCTAAAATCTTCTAAGGAGACCTCCAAAGAAAAGTGGATGTTTATAGTTTTTTGGGGTGGGTATTTTTATACTGTAGCTCCTACATTTTATGCTATTAATGTTTTGAGTTTGTAAGACTGCTACCTATATCAGGTCACTGTAACAGAAACTTTAACATTTTATTTAACCAGGAAGTCCCACTGAAATAAAGTGAATTCTACCTTAAAACAGAAGTTTGGTTCATCTTCGATGTTTAATGCAGAGTAGTCTTAAAAAGTATCTGGGAAAAAAACACTTAAATTGTACCTGAAAGTATCAGATGTATTTGGATAGAGGAATGCAGCTTATAAATCGCTCCATTTTTACCAGCAGTGGTGCTGATTTACTGGTATGTCCATATTTTCCAGTATTAGAGTGGTCTCCTATTAAACTGATTAATTTGCACAAAAAGAAGTAGGATTCAAAGTTGCATGCATAGCTTTATAACTGTTTCAGAGTAGTCCTCAAGGTCTGATTAGTTGATAATAAATATAAGTACACAATTTTAGTAAGTATAATTCTATAATTTCATACATGCCACAAAAATCTGTTATTGTTAAATTGAAAAGGCATAGTTAAAGTACTAAATAAACACTGTAGAGTAGCCACATGTGGTAAATGATTTATTAGTAATTCTAATAGGTTAACCTCATAGATTAAGTATACATTTTAATCATACATTTTAACATAGGCTATTAAGGTACATAAGAGAAGATGCACTTTACTTTAAAGCTTGGGAATTCTTTTGTTATAACAGGTACAAAAATTATATATATTTAATAGCTAATATAATTAAATGGGTAACCATCAAATAGATTGTCTGGTCAATAATTCCTTTAAAATGGCTCTTTTGATAGTAAAGGTGTCACCTGAATTACACTGATCCAATACAATGCATTCTACTTTTATTCCACTAGGGGGCTCTATCTGCCACCTATTCTGCTTTGAGGCGCTGTGCTCCTGCCCCTGTCCTGGAGCCTGTTCAGTCTTCTGGCCTTGCTCAGCGGAGAGGGATGAAGAAACTCGGGAGTCCAAAACTCACTTCAGATCCTAAGGAAAAGGAATAGCCTCAACCATTTAAATGCAGCACAAATATAATTTTAGCTTTTAATCGTAGACCTGCATTCTAAAAAGCACAAATCACATCTAATAAACTATAACATGACAATATAGAGGCCTACTTGTACTGGCACCAGGATTAGCGTCAAGTCACTCGGTGAATTGTTTCAATTTTAACAGCTTGATGCACTGATATAAAATTCATCACATGCACCTTCATTGGAAACTGTGAAACTGAGTGGCTTGAGGAAGTCAAATAATAGACCTTAAAATAAATTATTCTTAATTTTGAAAAGAGAATTTTCAATTCAAACATACAGACATTTTATTAAAAAAAATTGCTTCTAACTTACCCGTCCTTTGGAAGCTGGCCTTGATTTCAGTTGGTTAACATCCTTGGTCATATAAGTGGCAAGGCTGTCTTACAATACACACAGACAAACTCTTATCTGCCTTGAATTACTGTATATTTGCAGGAACGGCTGCAGTTCAAAGTAAGAAACAGTAGACTGAAAAAACGAGTATTCAGTGCCACAAACATAAAAGTAGCAGTATGGTTTATATATTTTTGTATGTCAACAAAAGCATAGCATTTATTGTTCCAAAGTCATAACTTATACACACAGCATCTCTCTTAGATTAGCATATTTTACTCCAATCCTCAGACTCATGCCTGTTAAAAATGTAAATATCCTACCAAAGGGAATTATTTATTTAAAAATGCCATCTACATTAAGAACCACTGGATGTTGCACTCGAGCACCAGCAGAACAAAACAACCTAGCGTAAATATATATATTGTACGGCTGAGGTATAGTACAATTAAAAACACCAGAGGCCAGTGCCACTGGCACCTTTCTGTACCAGATTTTTTTTTTTTTTTTTTGCCCGATTCAGCTGCTTTCATACGGTGTTGTTCATGTCTGAGGTGTAGCAACACTTGTTGGGAGACTTTAGTCCTCAGCAAGTCGTCATTCAACTGGAGTAACATCATTTCCACTTTACCCATGTCTCTTCTGTTCTGCTCCTCTGGAATATACAGCTACTGAGATACTGAACAGCTATGCTCAAATTTCAAAACACACAGGAAGACTGACTATTTACAGAACCTATAGCAATGCCATTTAGTCTTATTGGTAGAAAATGTGATCAAGATTTTTCTTGCATAATTGTCTTCCACAGCCTTTGATTCACTGAGTAGTCTTTAAAAGAAACATGGCACACTCTGCAGTCTATACATTTTAGACAACGTCCAGCATAATTCATCAATTTGCATGTGCTCAAATGTGTTTATCAGTAGGCTTATGTTTGCCATTAGTATCTGAAAGCCAAAACATTGGAGAATCACTGTGTCAGATTTTTGTATATACTGTCTAATGCTGCTGCCCTGATTTTATCTAATGAGATGTTCACTCATAAAGACGAGGTATGATAGAACAGGGTTTTTTGCAGATACTAGTAGCACTTTGTGTTGTACAGGTAAGCCGTAGCAATGTAGATTATAATGCTCCACAAGTTAGAAACATACTTGCTGATCAGAGGTAAAACGTTTTGAGATGTGCAAGAAATAAGCACTGTAGTAGAGACAATACATTCTGGACACAGTTTTGTTTGCCAATTCAAAAACTGTGGGTTTTGTTGCACTGCACAACGGCAAAAGGTGTGGCTGGCGAACTGATGAAACTATAAGTATGCAGTATGAGTATGTGTGTTGTACAACCGTAAAAGTAATGTTGTATATATTGTTTATTAATTTAGACTGTACGTACTGTTGTGCAAAACCAACAGTATGTTGTATCAGCAGGCTTGGTTGTACAACTGTCAGCAACCAGGAAGACTGATATATTGTTTAGCAAATATATTGGGACTGTACATATTACATTGTGTTGTGCATCCATTGCTGTGTACATACTGTCTATACCCAGCCAATTGTTGAAGATATTGGCCAGAATGCCAAAGTTTTACAAATAAAGGAAAAGAACGGAAAATGACATTGAAGTGTATGAAGAGCTGGTTTGATTTGTTATTCTGACTTGTGACAGAAGCGCTCCCAGTAACGTGATCGATGACATTAACCTGCATGCAATCAATCAGCCATTGCCTAATAAGGATTTGGCTTGTAAAAATCTATATTTTCATAACATAAACAAAAGGTCCTGTTCCATTTAATTGCTGTGAAGTCAGTGTAGTTTTATATTTAATAAGAAGGGTCACACCAAAAGAAATTATTTTCCAGTCATTAATAACCATTTCCTAATATCTACAAGTACTGAGAAAAATGTTTGACACCAACTTGCCTGTGAGGGGTAGAGGAAATCTCTTATTACCTGCCTTTTTTAGGAGTGAAACCTACTAAACCCAACATTTTAAACCTTCATGGTGCAGCAGCAGCAGCAGCAAGCCAGAGTTAAAGCCACTAGATGGCAACCAATCATAGTCCATCCTTTTGCTCTCTTTCCACTGCTTACTTGAAGTTGTCCCTTTAGAGCCATAATCCCTGAAAAAGAAGAAGGAAAACTCTTTAATTTATATCAACCACCAGGCACACCATAAAAGCTTTTAGCAGGCACTGAGCTGATGTGTCAGGTGGGTGTGGCGGGCTCATCAGCCCTGACATTTAAGTGCAGTAGTGCTCGGAGCAAAAGGGATTGTAGGATATGAGTAGATACAGATGACAAGCCCCCCTGTGAAGATGATTGCAGTGGAGTGACAAGAGGAGACCAAACAACAGACATAGCAAGGAGAAGGTGTCGGGAGGGGAGAGATGAAAGGCAAAAGAAAGAACAAGAGCTTTGAGAAACAATAACTCAACCCGGCAATTACAGCTTTGTCAGATTTTATGTTATCTTTTCATAAGGGGAGAACTTCAAAAATGTACTTAGAATCTTAAGAGTATATCGCCATTTTGAATTTATTGAAATCTTTGTACCTTATGACTATGGAAAAATACAAATGATTGGTTTTGGTCTTAGGATTTTATATCATATTATTATTATTATTATTTTTAAATCTGTGGATATTTAAGTAAACCATGAGTTGGAAAACTGGTTAGCACCTGATACAGGTTAGCACCCTGCAATATGCAAGTTTTCAAATGCCTATGTAAGCAACTTTCTGATTTAGTACCAACAGTGGTGTTGTTGAAAGGGACATGACATTTTTCTGTAAAGTTAAGACATTAATATTTGCAGTATTTTGGTTGCCTCATCGCTACATTATTTTTTATTTTTTTTTAAAAAGCTATTTCATATTGTCATAAAGATGAGGAAGACCAAGATGGATGCAAAGACAAAACAACAACAACAAAAAACCCAACAAAACAAAACAAGAAACACTGTTACTTTATGAAATCCCTGGGAAGTGAAGTGTTCCACTTAGGAAATCCCCTGGTACAGTCACCTTAACACCATGTCTTTTAATGACAAACCAGTCAAGCTGCAGTCCTAGATCCACATCCTCAGTCTATGTGAGATGTACCCCACAACCAGACTGTATCAGCCCTCCAGAAGCTGAGCTACAGTATGCTAGGCCGAACCTGAGGTACTGACTTCCAGCGTTGGCTGAGCCAGTGTAGCTTTCATCCTGGATGGAGGGGTTGACAGGCCCAAGCACTCTTTCTCAATGTACATGTACTTTTGTAAGTGTTTAATACATTCAGCGAGAGATAACCCTGCTTTTCGTCAGAGTTTTGTTTGTTTGTTTGTTTGTTAGTTGGGGTTTTTTTTTTAATGGCAATATTAAATGCCATTTCTGAGCCTCCTCTTTGGGAGACCTCTGCTGATCACCTGCATGCAGAGATGTCTGAAATATAGCCGCTGGCTACTGAAGTAAAACATTTTGGTAGTTTCACAGCAAACTGTAGTCTGTGCTTTTGGGACATGAGAAATGACATATGCTCAAGCCAAGCTAAGAAGTGGGGGCCTTTTCCATTCCCTTGCCCTTAAAAAGAACAGGAGCTCCTCCTGCTGGGGATGAAGGGAAAGAGAGTTTCTTTTGTTATGTTTTTGTTTTTGGTTGGACACCCTACAATTGGCAAACTGCCTGGCTGCAGAATACTTTCATTGTTTTGTTACCCCCTGAGCAAAATGAAGTGGTCACACTTGGTGACACTAACAAAGTATTTCGAAGTGACTGATGATACTGAAGGGGTGCTTGGTGGCACTGTCATTTGTCCTAGCATCTCCTCTCTTTGAACTCTCTTTGAACTAGAGGGGATTCCATCCACCTAAGTAAGATATTGGAGTTGGGAAGAGTAGTAGTAGCAGCAGTAGTCAGAAGAGAAAGAAAAAAAAAACATTTTTTATACTCCCTAGGCAAGTTAGAGCCACTAATACATCACAAAACTTGCAATGTGTGTGCACTCACAGATAGAAGCTGGCTGTGCATGGCTTATGTAATGAGTCACACACAACAGTGTGAGCACAGATTACAGGTTTTACAGTTTTACTATATATGTTCACTGCTGCCATCTTGGATTGTGAAATCAGGGCTGGAAGTGCTCTCCAGCTTTCTGAGTTGGAAATCTGAGTTGAGGGGGCATTCCAGTTGCAAATTCTAATTTTGAAGTTGAACTTTCTGGCTTCCCAATTCAAATGGAAAGCAGTACGAGAAAGACCTGATAAACTGGGAACTGCAGAAGCACCTGAATCATAAACTATGAGGGCATTAGTTTACCCTTTCCATCCCTTCATGAGGTGATACAGAATACTGATTAAACGTTAGGTCAAACACTTCTTCTTACCCTCCTTTGGGCATGACAAGTTTCTTGCAGCCACCACTAGAAATAAATGCTTTACCCGAAAGCCTTGTGGTTTCTGCCTGCCTTGGCCTCCTGAGCAGATTGGGACACACTCTCCTTCTCTCTGCATTTTAACTCCACTTTGCCTATCCCTCACTGCCACTGCTGGAGCTGCAATGCTAGCTCTATGCACCTGGTGGGGTAGTGAATTTGATTTTTGTGGTAGGCAGAGGACGAAAGCTTCTCCGTCTTTCTGTCTTTCATTTTCTCCAAGACTGGGCCACAAAAGACCTTTGGCGGGACACAGGGTACGTCCATGACTCCAGCCTTCTTTGTCCATGATTGACAGGTTTAACCACAAGACTGTCCCACCAGAGACTGCAAGGCTCACCCACAGCCTTGGACTCCTCCACAGGAAGAGCATGGAATAAGTGTATAAACTACATACATTTTATACCAGAGTACAAGGCTTGGATTCATATCTTCCAAGTCTTTTCTTGATAAACAATGTGACAATGTTAAGGGAACATGCTGACTTTGCTGTATAGTGAGATCAATCTGCAGTAACACATAAATTATAGTTCTGCGTCAGATGTACATCGTAACTTACGACATAACCAGAACCGTTTCTTCTGATGTGCACCTCCTGAGAAATGTAAATACACGCCAGGTCAACTGCTGGAAGGTGGTGTCATCCTTGTCCTCCTTCATTTTGTCTAAATTGAGGTCTGTGTTGACGTCGCCATCCAGGTTACCCTCATTTCAGTTGAGGAGTCATTCACAAATGGCCGGGACACAACCAGTTCTTGCCCTCTATCATGTTTACCCATCTTGTGGTGGCTCATAGTTGATGGATGTCAGTCACAGCATTAGTGGCTGACAAGAAGGGGTCCTGCTGGGGTAGCAGCTATAACCATAGCCTGTTGGAAAAGGATGACATGTTATGCCATCTGTAGGTAGCGCTAACATCTGGGTTAAATCCAAATTGACTGTGTTAGCATGAGGGTTAGAGGCCATAACATGGCTAAACGAGTACGTCACCAAATTGCAGCTTCACATTGCTCACTTTTTCACTGTAGGAATCACTTCAAAGTTAGAACAGCTAATAATTCACATTATAACAGTCTCCTCTTTAGTTACATCTTTGCCTTTATATTCCAACATTCCCCTTCTGTCACAAAACAGAGGTCCAAAGAAAAGGGATATACACACTGACAGGGACAGATATCCCACCACCTATGGCACTGGATGTGCGTACATGCATATAAACACACACACACAGAGACACAGACCCTTGGACACCCTGTGGCATTACAGCTCGACCTGCCACTCGGACATTCACCGAATCAGACGGACAAATCTCTAACAGACGGCTCCTGACAAAGAGATTATCACCGTGACAGGAGAAGTGTGTGCAGCTGTGGGTGGTAGAGTTTATAGCAGGAAGATGGGGGTAGGGAGCGAACTCAGTACTTTCACACATTTTGCTTCTCTGCTCTCTCTCCCTCGCACTCTCATCACACCGGCATACATAGTCAGACTTCTCTCTATATGAGAAGCAGATGCATTACCTTTCATTACATGTGTGTGTGTGTGTCCATGAACATGTGTCAGGCCGGAAGAGAGGGACTCTAAAATCAGTTAACTGTACTTTAGAGGTTCTGCATAAGAATGAGTCCAGGTGTAAGATTTGTTGTCATTTTAAACTGTGTGAGAACTTTCCTTGTATTGGTGTTATGCTATAATTCACCCTTTGTATCTTACAATTAATACAATACGAATTACATCTCTCAGCTATATGCCAGAGCTCTGTGACAAACAGGTGCGATACGTGGCACACTGTAGTCTATGCAGTAGACTCCACCCAGCCTTTTTCTGTTGCACTGCTCATCAAAGCAATTTCAAGCCAACTTAGCTTCTGAAGGAAGGATATGTTACAGTGTTGAATAAAACAACAATGTCTGCTGTAGCAATGGTGTCTGGTGCACAGCAGCTAAATCAAAGGAGGGAAAAATATTTACCACTTTATACTCACTAAATTTGTAAGAAATCCTGTGCAGATTTTAAGAAATAAAATAAGTACAGCAATATGAAGGCAACACAACAAAAGATTTCGGTGCAACAGGGTTAAGTATAAACTCTTCAGTTATATTAGTGTCTTACTACAGAAGTTTTAAAATTAAAATATACATTGTTCATTCATTTTTTTCCACCATCAGTCCCAAGTGCTCAACTTCAGCAGTATATTTCTGTACATACTTTATGTGACGTCAAACTTTATGGACTGCTGCAGGGTTGTTATCTGGCTCTTTAATTCAAATCTATATTAAAGTGGCATTAAAGTTTTTTAATAGTGTTGAGGATAAATCAAGGCATCAAACCTGCACTTATCCATTCGTGTAGCTAGTTTTGTGCCAGAATTATGGTCCTAAAAGGGAACAGAATCAATAAGAAATACCACACTGATGTTACTCTGCGTATTGCTTCACTCACATATAAATTTAACTGGAGAAAAGTTCATTTCATTTATAATCACAAACAATTTAACCACGAATGCCACCAATCTTTGCTCTAATTGTACAGAGAGTTATCAAGTAGCCACTGTGGATGAAATGGCTGATGGGACACAGTTTGATATTTTCAAACAGTTTTTGAACAAACCACAAATTGCTGCAATGACGGTGATATAATCATGTAATCCAAACACAAATACACTCACAAGTCAAAGGTGCCAGAGGAGGATAAGTGAAGCTCTGTAGAAAGTCAATTAATCTTTTCAGCGGTCCCCCTTCCCTCCGCCCTGCTTAAAAGCTTCATTTACCTCCTATGGAGAAGAGATAGAAACACCATTAGTGAGATGATGGCAGGACTGGAAAGGGGAAAGGAGAATCTCACAGTTGGATGAGCTGAAACAGTATAGGCCCCCATCTCCTCAAAAAGTGTGTGTGCGCGAAAAAGGCGAGAGCATCTTCTGCATGGGTGAGCTCAATTAGGTTCCATCTTGATTATCAAAGGTAGTGGTGTACAACTTTTAAGGCGGAAGTGTGCCTCAAATCCTGGTAATGGCAAAGGGTGGGCCGACCTGCAGAGTGAAGCAAGAGTTGGACTGATTGGAGTGGAGATGTGACTGAGGTTGGGTTTTTTTTTGTTGGACAGAGGTGCTATACAAGGTGTACATTAGGGAATAACACCCTAACCACTATTTCCATATCTAAAGTAATGTGCGTGTGTGTGTGTGTATGACAGTGAGAGAGTGTGCGGCATTCGAGCCCAGCTGGATAAGTGATATTCATGTGTGTTTGCATGCACGCGTTTGGGTGTGTGAAATGCCAGTGAGCATATAGGCTTCGCTTGACTGAGCTCGGCTGGCTGCTGGGGCACAATTGGGGGGCTCTCTGTGTAAAGAGGTCAAAATACACACACATACAAACAACAGTGAGGAAGTTTGGCTGAATACGCAAGGCTCTGATAATCAAACAGTATGCAAATCAGCCAAATCCTATGCAGAAACAAACAATATGCCATATGAATCTAAGATTACAAATACACTACACTATGAACGATTCCAAACCTCACATTACTTATATATGTCACAGTGTTGCCACATTAGTCTGTATACATCTTGACATTTAAATTCAAGCCACCTGAGCTCGCAAGTTTCAAAATGATGTACGTCGAGGTGCAATATGTTTTCCTCCTCTCCCTGTTGATCGTAATTACTGCAGATCTGATCTCAGGGCTGTAAGGTTTTACTTGGGTTAATACACTTGCTGGCAGAAGAAGGTCAAGTTAAATCAATAGTAAGAGCATAGGCAAACCCTGGGCTGAAGTCTTGCAGGGGTAACTACAGGCAGGAGGCCAAGTCCCCATCTTCTTAATTACAACCAGCTTCTAGTGCTGACCCTGAAGACTTCTACAAGTCAATAACATGCACACAGTTCAATATGTGTTCTATTACTTGCACCGTATAACTCACACTCCTTCAGGGACAACGGGCCACAGGCTGACTTGAAGATCTGTCAAACTAATCATTAAGGAGTTTGGAAAAGACAGTGCTGGTTTTCCTTTATGCAGCATTGTCTCTGCATGCCCTCCCATGTGAATGTGTGCGTGGTTCAATGTGTCTCTGTGCCTGTTTTCACTAGTCTAGTGTGTAAACAAATGTTTTGTCCCAGTTAACTAGGTCCCAGTCAGACCAAACCCATTTGGCATTGGTCCACTGATGCTGGTGTGTGCATGCATTCAGGCTACGGCAATATATAGATATATGTGGGCATATGTGTGTGTTGTGAACATGGCAGCCAGGGGGATAGCATGCTGCTGCTGCTGCTGACACTGGGCCTGTCTGCCTGGTGTGCCCCTTTCTGCACCAGTAGAGCTGGCACTACCTCCTGCCTCTGCCCAGCGCGCCAGCTGGGCGCTACCAGGAGAGGCCCTGCAGAGAGAGGACACAGGTCAGCTGTGACAGAGGGATGCAGAGAGAGAGAGGTGTGGAGTAAAGGGGAAAGATTTAGATACAGAGCGGGGATAGAGGGATACAGCATAGTCATAGAAAGTTAAAAGAAGACTGAATACAAAGCAAGTAAATATTTCACTATTAAACAATGACATTATGATGAAAATGGGTTGTCATTATAGGCATAAGATGACCTTTTGTGTTTGTCTTGTGACATGTGTGTGAGGTGGGATTCACTTCAAAAGTCTGATAGTTTAATGTAAACCACTTATATACATTCTGAACACCAATTTGAATTTTATACCTGAAAAGTAGCATTTACTTCCACTTTTTCTTGCCCAATGTCAAAAGGTGGATTCTGAGAAAATCAGATGTGTCAGCATTAACCATCTAACAGTTTGTAACCTTTCTGGTTCTTTTAATGACATATCATTTAGATGCATTTGATATTTGCATACGGGACTTGGACGCTGTGGTTCTGCAGTCATTTTGTTGGGGTGTCCAGGTTATTATGTCAGAACGGTCAAATGAATTTACAATATAATTTGTTCCTTGATTATGTGATTTTTAAATGTTTTATTTTATCAAATTATACCACACTTAATTACCATTTCGAGACATCTATAAATATTAGTGTCAACTTTTCAAACAGACATTTTCTACAAATCAATTAATAAATGTTAACTACTATTTCATTGTTTGGTAATAGTACATAACTAAAATAAAATTAACTATGAATTAACAAGGTTTTTCCTCAACACAATAGTGCATACATTCACTTTGGACCAGCTGCCCGAGAGATGTATAGTATTTGCTTGAATTTACTAAGGTTACAATTTATTCTACAAGGTGAAGAAAAAAATTATATAAAACTTGCCAAGATATTTCACAATCATATCTCATGGCTGTATTGCCTTGTATGGCTTTCTTTATAGGCTCTTTGTTCTTTAGAAAAAACAAAAGCAATAAACTTTTTTTTACCAAAATCTTTATTCTTTTTATTTTTTTTTTAACTTTAGCCACTGTAGTTAACTAAGCTGACTGGTTAAGTGAGCTTCACTTGGGATATTTTAATCTAGACGCTGTGTTTCTGTGAGATAATGACTCTTTCCCAGCACTATTACTCAATTAGAACAATTTCATATCATCTTTTTTGTTTGCAGCCTGCAGTGAGGTGTGACAAATGAGTCTTCTCGGTAACAGATGACATAAACTAAGGTTGGCAAAGATATCCAAATTGTAGCTATAAACAAAAAGTATGTGTCTATTCTATGCTGGCACGTTCAAGATATACACATGAAAATAAAATAAGACATACGAGTTCATTTGGTTCCTGTGAACACCTTAAGATCAATGAGGCTCTGTGTTTCTTGGTTTGCTCATCCATGTGTAAATGAGACTATTTGCATTGTACAGTGATTAGGGAAATTAGAGACCTGCTGAGGGAAATCACATTGCGTGCTCAGCCACAAGGAAGTAGGGTTATTGCTGTCTACAACTGTCAGACACTGACACTAGGCTTTGGGACTTTTCCATATGGCATGAGATAATATTCCTGGGAGGCAGAACACTTTCAAAAGCTGCACATACATATTATCTGCATTTTATAGTGTGAAATACTCGTTGGTTATTTGTGAACTGTACTCACCTGTGATGTATTGCAAAAAAAAAAAAAAGTGCTGAGAATATATTAAGCATTACCTTAGAAATCAAACTTATGTATAGTTCCATTGCTTTATCTTTCAACGTGCCCAATTACTCCATCAAAAGAAGTAAAGCTTAATGATCCTGACTGGGACTTGGGTGGCAACACCTTTGTTCCCCGAGTCAAGTCACAAACTAATGAGTTTAACTGGATGGTAAATAACAGCACAGGCATGTCAAAGGTCTCTGACCTTTCTACTCGAGATTTGCAGTGGACTACACTGAACAAACCCTTTCAAGGTCCTGCAACCTATCATTAAGAAGAGCAGCTTAGACGAAAGCGCCAGAACAAGAACAAGAACAATAAAAAAACAAACATTTTCTCTTGTTGTTTGCTTTCTGTGCTTCTGTGCCATCCTGAGGGAAGTTGATGGGGCAAAACATTTGCTGAGTAAATCATTCACTGAAAATGACAATAGAGACAATAAAATGTAAGCTCTTTGTGTAAACTGCGAAAATAATAGGAACGCTAATAAAGAACGCCTTGTTTTTGAGAGTTGGGCTTAGAACAAATGTAACCCTGGTCGCTTAAAGGACAACATCTGGTCTTATGACTTTCGTCACTATGCTATAATGTAGTGTAGCTCAAAGCCCAAATCTACTGGCTTTGACATGAAAGACCTGCAGGGCTATCCGTTAAGTAGCGGAATCAGTGGGATGAAGTCATTACACCAGTATGAGAGACGGAGCCTTGATACCCTCACCTTCTTTCTCCTTCTACTCCCAACCTCCTGCCCCACCACAGACACCCTCTGAACACCCCGCCCCAAGTCCGCACCTTTTCCAAAGCGTCCTCTCTCCCACCCCCTTTCTCCATGGGCCCTGGGTCTCTGGCTGGCACAGCTGTGCCGGGAGCCGTGCTGTCACAAGCGGTTAGGGTGACAGCCACTCACACTTCATAATGTCCCTCTCACAGGTCACCGAGCGACAAGCTGGGTCACCTCGCTCCAGCAGGCAGCCCCAGGGGAAGCAGAGTGCCCCCACCACCTCCACTACCTCCCCAATCCCTCCCTCACCCACCATCTCCCCATCAAATCCCCAAACCTTCCACCCTCCTATTGCCCAGAAAAATAGAGAGACAGGGGGTTTTGGGGGGGGGGGGGGGGGGGGGGGGTCCAGGTGGAAGGACCTATTCTGAAGGGATGGTCCACAAGAAACTCTCCATGCTGGAGACTATGCCAGGCCCGTGATTACAGTGGGCACTGTTAGTTCCTCTGATAGGGATGAAGCTGGCAGCATGGGTTAGGGCTTGTATCTGCTGTGTAGATGGTAAGACCTCAGAGGAACATGATGATGCACTGCCTTTCTGTAGATCTTATGGCTGCCACAAAATCGGGTATCAATGCAGCAAAATAAATCAAGATCAAATATATTTTAAGCTTTATTCTTTGAATTATAGAAACCACAAAATCTTAAATATAAACTTGACTTTCTTGCCATACTCCAGATGGGTGAAAGCATGGTATGAACTTTGTAAATGGCCATAGGAGAGCACCATATGCTCCTCATGTCTGCCATCCAACTGTCATTAATGTGCATTATCTGTGCTCTCAATCTCATTGTCTAACCTAATAGCAATGCAAGTCAGTAGAGACAACATTAAGATTCACATTATTGGGCCCATGCTGACACTCTCTCTAATTGGTTTGCCATTTTTACCTAAT